AATACATTGAAAACCAAAACTCCTTCATTCTGAATTCAAATTAGATCCTGAACAAAGTCACTTGCTTTCTGCACTTTTGCCTAGATAAACTGCTCCTTACTGGTTCTCTTTTTACTGTAAAGCTATCAGAAATGTAATTATTTTGTACATGTGTACAAATTAGAGTGCCAAGTTGTTTGTGGCAACATCATGCTTACTATAATAAAGATGAATATTTAATCTGCCTTGGCTGCAAACTTGCTCTGCATTACAGGTCACCATCTACAAAATGCAGTATTTCTACACCTATGCCATCAACTGTTTCTACATCATTACATACACCAAACATATATATGTAAAATATAAAAAATATGATGGCTTTGCTGTATGCAAACAGGCAACCTCTAACTTTCCACAATTTCAGGATCTTCTCCCTAGACCAGTACTTTCGAGAACATTCTGGCATATTATGTAATCGCTACTATAAATGCAGAGTTCATGCCATTTTTAGGCAGACCGCTTTCTCCTTCTACTGCTATAAGACCTTTGCTGTCACTCTTCCATCTGTCTTCCTTTGAACAATATGATGCAGTAAATTTAAAGTTAAATCCTATTTAGTTTAAATTACTATTGCATATGTAATCTTGGAGAATCTAAAAAAAACAGTAATTTGCTATTTTAAGTGAATAAGATATGAAGTTTTTAAAAGTGAAATTCTTCTGCGTGTTCAATTTGGCTGCCTTCCACTCCGCAACGATCTCACCCGGACTCTCATGTGACCAGATTGCTAAGCTTAATCATTTTCCAATGCCCATCTACTTCAAATATCACAGTTAACTAAACAGTCAACAGGATCTTTACCAGTAGCCCGAGACCTTCAATGGAAAATTTATTCATATCTTCAAATCATTGTTCTGTGCTAAATTCAAAGGCAATGTCAAAAAATTGAATCATCAATTTTTTTTCCAGTGTTTAAAAAATAACCTATCATCCTTCTGCTGTAATTTTTTGCAAGTGCTTAAAAAAAATCACGCGATAAATTCAGATGTTTAGTGAAAAGGAATATTGAATTTTCTTCAGTCATCTCTACAATATTTAGGGAGAAAAAATGTCCTTTAACTCATCTGTGAATCACCGCTTAAGGAAATTCAGCATTACAGTGGGTTCAAGGTCGATCTGAGTCTGAGCTTTGCTTTAAGTATGTGCGAAAGAAAATTATTTCTGCTTCCACCTTGCATAACTACGCACTACAGCTTCCGTCTCTGCTTGGATGTAATTTTGCTAGTCTGCTTCCTATTGCAATAATATCAAAAATGTAAATGTTCCTGAGTAGGCACTAGAGTGCCAAATGAACTGTGGCCACAAATATCAATTGCAAATTAAAATGGAATTAAAACTGCCCCGACTGCTAAGTTTTTTAGATTAACATTATTAGCAATCAGAATTCTTCAATATGGATCTAAGTACGCATCAACAATGTTCTGTCTTTTCCTTGTGCTTTTATTATGTCATATACATAAAACTTTTTATTTTCAGCTTGTGCAAATCTTTATTTTCTGTGCATTCACTATATGTTTTGAGTAAAGTAATTCACAATAATTTAGCATATATCAGAATTTTTATATGAGACATAAAAATAAACTAAATGAAAACTGCATTCATTATTTTTAATATGCACTCAAAAAGTCAGTTTTTTTTTAAAGTCCTCTAACAAGACAGGTAGATAGCTCTTGCATGCTTCCCCCTACTTAAAAAAAAAAACTTAACTTGACCTATGTACCGAATTACAAATATTTTAACATGCACAATTCTAAACTTACATTTAGCCATCAAATAGGAAATTTTAAACTTAAAATATGGTTTTGGTTACATTCATTATCAAATTGCAATTTTTTAGTAAATATATTTTGGCAGAGCATTCAATACCTCCCTCAGCAATTTACCCAATTTCATAGTTCCCTGATAATATAATAAATAATAACTATCCTTTACTCATTTAAACATTAACCTCATTATCATCAGATCACAGTCTTGATGGTCTCTGCATACCAACATTGTTTTACTTATTGAAGCAGTTAATATAACTAATTTATCTAAATTCACAAATATATAAAATTCAGACATTGCAAGGAAATCCAAAATGTAATAATATGCCAAATATTTTGCTATACCAATTAATAACATTAAAGATGCTTTTTCCATGTCTTGAAGCTGTTTTAAAACTAGCAGACTACTACTTAATCTCTCCTCCGTTTACTAAAGATTAGATTCCAAAATAAAAATTGCTTATGTTTCATTCAACAGTTTATGCATTGAATGACAAAGATTCTTCACTCATAATTTTGTATTACATTTAATCATCAATTAAAACATGTTACTAAATAAAAATTAAAAAAAAATGAAAACATAATTTGTTTTTTCTTTTCTTTATAACTCTGTTAATTACTGACCATGAAGTAAGTTTTGAAATTGGTAATTTTGTTTTATTATAAAAATAAAAATAACAAAATTACCAATTATTATATTAAATTGGCACAGATACCAATTTATAAAATTTTAAAAAAGCGTTATGATCAAATATTTTATTTGATGACTGCTCTTATTAAATGTAAAATATGGTTGTGTACTAGGTCAATTTCAAGCAGATGTTCATTTAAAGAAACTGTCGAGCAGCTGGATTGTCATTAAATCCACCATAGAGTCTAACACAAGAATAAAAAACAATTTTAGGTCATCCTGGCTTAATTTATAAATTGGGATGCATTTCAGAGGTGCCTTTTCTGATAACAGAGAGTTTCTGATAACATTTGAGAAAACAAATTGATCAAGATTTGATGCATATTTTAAAACTGAGGATTTTTTGCGATTTTTTTTTTTTCATTAACAGCGTTGCATACCCTGAATATATTCCATAGGTTCAGAGTATAAATGCAGGATTATACTGTAACATTCTGAGATATATCAAAGTTTGCATACGCTTATAGATTTCAAATGTGAAAGACTTCAAGCCATACAAACATGACAGTCGCATTTCATTCCCCCTTCTTGACAGATATGGCTATCTCTGATTGTCTTCTTTCTCAGAAATTGAAATTCAAGTTGACAGGCCTCTATTTTAAAGCCACAGAAGAAACAGCATTAATCAAAGGTGGAATTTAACACACTATTAGAATGGGACTTTCAGTAAGTGCTCGAAAGATGGTAGAAGCACTAGCAGTGATATGCAACAGCACAGAGGGATTACTTTCAATGGAATGGTAGTAAAATTTTAATGCAGTTAGTTTTCATGTTGAAACTTTCTCACTTCATCTCATAAATTTCATAAATTCAGCTACTACATACCAAAGAAAGTGGAAACAACCATATACCCTGCCTAAAAATTTTGCAGTTTAATATATTGGTAGTACAAATGATATTCAGTCAAGAATAATAAAGGATGAAAAAAAGATTTTATGTTACTAATGTTCTATAAATTTTGTGTTGCAATGCATTCATATAAATTACACTCAGAAAATATCAGTATATTATATTAAAATGAATTTAGCAATTATAAAGATACAGGGGTTGGACAAAAATATGGAAACACCTTTAAAAAACATGTTTCTTTGCTTAATATGGTGTAGGAAACCCGTTGGCATCCAAAACAGCTTGCAGTCTTCTCGGAATGGATAAATACAGTTCCTGTATGTTTGCAAATGGAATATTATGCCATTCTTCCTGCAAAACGGTGGCAAGTTCAGATAACGATGTCGGTGGTGGATAACGAGAACGCACTTTCCGTTCCAATGTAGACCACAAAGGTTCGATAATATTCAGGTCTGGTGACTGTGGTGGCCAGGGGAGATGGGACAAGTCATCTTCGTGCTCAGAAAACCAGTCCTGGACAATGTGAGCTGTGTGAACAGGGGCTTTGTCGTCTTGGAAGACACCATCACCATCGGGGAACAAAGTTTGTACCATGGGATGAACTTGATCGGCCAAAATGTTCACATAAGTCTTGGCAGTCATGTGCCCTGACACAGTTATCATGGGGCTAGCAGAGAACCACGATATGGCTGCCCAAACCATAACAGAACCCCCGCCATGTTTCACTCTTGGCAACAAGCAGTCTGTATTATAGGCTTCGTTCTCCAGACGTAAAAAACAGAATTGGGAAACAATGTGAAAGAAGATTCGTCAGACCACATTACTCGCTTCCACTGCTCTATAGTCCAGGCTCTATGACTTAAACACCACCTTTTCCTGTTATGGGCATTAGCATCACTGATGAGTGGCTTCTCAATTGCATCACGGCCAGCAATTCCCTGTTTATAAAGCTCCCTTCTAATTGTTTTGGTACTCACAAGGTTTGGTAACACAACATTCATTTCAGCAGTAACTTTTGCAGCTGTGGTCTTCTTATTTTTCGTCACAATTGCCCTTAATGATCGTCTGTCACGATCACTCAGGACACACTTTCGTCCGTGCTGTGATTTAGCAGATTATGTTTTTCCACTTTTCAAATATGCGGAATAAATCTTTGATACAGTACCTCTTGAAACACTAAACACCTCGGCTACCTTGCTTACGGAAGCACCTACCATACGTGCTCCAACAATTTGCCCATGTTCGAAGTCTGTTAACTCTGACATAATGCAATGACAACCTCACATAACAGTACTCCGACAACAACTGAACTGTTTAGCACATTTACGAAGTTGTATAGGTGCATTAGTAGTCAAAAACGCCAGCGCCACCTACATATTTCATTAAAATCAATCTTTCTTTTCAAACATGCATTTCACAAGGTGTTTCCATATTTTTGTCCATTCACTGTATGTTCATTATTGTGCAATGATATTAAAATTAATTAATAACATATAAAGGTTATAAAAAATGGTCTTTTCTGAGAAACTATTTAGGGCATCTGAAGGAACAAAAATTATGAACTACTGCCAAACAAATTTATAAATTCAATAAAAGTTTAATTGATCTACATTTATAAGTAAAATTCCACATATCTTAGAATACATAAAACTTACCAAATTCTTTTTTCATTTGTTCAAAATCCTACAAAGGAAGAAATATATGAAGACATGAGTAAACAGCTTTATCAGACATGTGGGAAAATAGAATAATTTAGAGAGGAAAAGAAATTACATATAATAAAAAATTTATTAGACTTTTACATTTAAATACACAATGATTGTGAATTATAAATGCTTTTTTCACACTACTTTCTGAAAAAGCTAATACACAAGCAATTAAAAATAGCTGTTTAAACAAGCTATTTATACATGCATATGCATGCATACCATTAACAGACAGGTCCTAAATCTCCAGATGAAGGAAGTAAGAGACGAATGGACATTTATTGGACACTTACAAATAATGGATAATAGCTTTGGCCCTATGAGTATCAGCTAATTGGAAGTTGAATTGCATATATATTATATATATATATATAAATTGGAACAAAAAAGAATAAAATTCCGTATTAAAAATTTTGAAGTTTTGACATAATTTCTTCTCGGTTTACATTGTAAACTGGTAGAATGCAAATTAAAGAAAATTACAAAATTGGAATCGAATATTGTTCACTTCAAGGAGTAAAATCGGTACTTTTCCGTTTCGCCGGCGCAAATCTCGCCAAGCAGACTTTATTGGCGACAACATACAGTATACACATAAAAAATATTTAAAAAATTTTAGTTCTAAGAATTTTTTATTTTGAAGGCATAAGCATTTTAATATCGCTTTAAAATTTTATAAAAAAGCCAATAAATAAAGACAATAAATTTGTAAAAAGACATTAATTCAAGAATTTACTATGCTTTTCATGGTTCAACATCCTGATTCGTTGGTTCATATCACGTGACCCCAAGCGATCTCATCTCACACAAACTATTCTACAAAAATCTAATGCTCTCAGTAATTATCTACATTAATTTCAAGTTAAATCTTAATTTGGAACACAAGTTTAAATGCAAGAAATATTTCAATGCGTACGAATAGCTTACTCAGAAATTATGTAAAACTGCAGTGCTTTACTTCGCTACTGCATTCTCATTAGAATTGATGAATTTAATCTTTGACTTTACCTTTTCTATATTTTCGGCTTCGGGTAAGCACTGTGATTGCATCCTAATTGACATAATTACTGAAAATGACCTTAGGCATAAAACTGAACTATCTGATAAAAATTCTATGTAATTATATGCCAGTATTGAAAGAAACAATCAATCTGATAAGAAAAAGCTGCGACTTGTTTTGAAAATGAGGCCTAAAAGGTTACCAGCAAGAATATTCCGTTTGGCATCGGTTGTACCATTATTGGCGACTTTATCGCTTGCGCCGGCAAAACGGAAAAGTACCGTAAAATCATATAAAATACAGGAAATTTTTACATAACAAAACCAAAAATAATAAAAGTTTTAATCTCTTTTGCTTAATGCTTCAAACAGAACTTGTCAAAAGAAAAGTTCTTTTGGAACAATTTGCTTTTGATACAAAAATTTCAGCAACATGAGGCTCGGTGCATTTCACAGGCCACCAATGGTGCCTTCCTTCTCCAGTACTTAATCATTCTTGGGCAAAATTTGCTTTAAACCTCTATTTAATATGTTTAGTAATTCAACCAATATTTCTTTTGCACAACAGAATTTTTTTCAATTTAAGGACCCTGCAGATACACATCCCAGTTCTTATACACATTTCCATTATATACTATGCTCCAATAAAATTCAGTTAAAACAGAGATCACACCAAAATAGCTTCAGAAAATTCATAATTTTTTACGACCTTCCTACAGGATCTAAATGGCCTCTGTTAAAGAGTTTTTCATTCAAAATTTACATAGCTCCATTAAAAAAGTAAGCATAATACTTTGGTAAATTCTATTCAGGAACCATAATACCAGTTTCTTTAAGTTACATTTTAGAACATAAGTATCATTCATTCCAATGAAAGAAGAGTGAAGTTCCAGAGAAGAAAAAAATTATATTGTATTTTACAGCATTTTGGGTTAGATAGTTACAAAGTGAAATATGTTTAACGCAAAAACGCTACAGATGAAATATCTTTAACACGAAATAATACAATGTTTCTGACAAACTACTAACTCAATAACATGAAAAATTTGCCTTCTGGGAATGTACAAAATACCAGCTGCACAAGCGAGATTTAAGAGGGGTGTGAAATGAAAGACAGATGGTTTCACAGGTTTCGTAGAAAGGAGGCTAACTTGACTTTGAAATAACCTCGGAATAGCCTGTGACATGAGCAAATTTTGTTTATCTATGGTACTTTCATCCTCCACCCCCTACAAACACCACACAAAAACATCTCATCTCTCATCAGTTGGCTTTGGAATTCGATGACGAGCACATCACAGTGTGGGTAAAAATCAGAGAGTTTGGTTCGCGCCAAAAGAAATGGAGAAGGAGGATATTGAAACTAAGCCGACACTTAATAAAATGTTTGAGAAAGTTTTTGTATTATTGAATTATCCTACTGTAACATCAGAAGAATTCATTGCAGTAGATGATGATAATGTGTGTACAGCCCCAATTATGGCAGACAAAGACAGTTTGGAGTTTGTTCAAAGCTAAAAAAATATCACTGATGCAGATTCCAACGATGAAAATGAAATGAATAATGCAGCTCCTGTTCCCATGTCGTCTGAAATGAGGAACATCATGAAAAGTATGCGAAGTTATTTAGATTCACATTCCAATGGTGAAATGAATAACAAAATGGACGACATCGAACAACATGTTGACAATTTTATGCTAAAAAAGACAATACAAAGAAAAAGATCAGATTATTTTCCAAAAACTCAATAAATGTTTTTTTTTTTTTTTTTCAAAAAATTTTTTAATTTTGTATTAAGTTCTTAGTATTAAATTTTTTGTTTAGATGTATTTAAAGTTTGTATTAAATTTTGTATTAGGATGTTTTTGTTTCATTGATTTTTATTTACATGCATATATACATATGCATGTAAATAAAATGTACTCTAATAAACTTAATTTTGTTGAATATATATATTTTTTCTTTTTTTGCAATATCCTTTAATACGAAAAAAATATTTTAGCCCCCCTCAGTTTCGTGTTAAATGATTTTCACTGTAATTCATACTAGATCTTTTAAATTCAGAATTACAATTAGAATTTAGCAGAATTAGATGTTAGAATTAGAACTTAGCAGCCAAATTCTAAAGTTGATCTAATTTAGTGGTAAATGTGATAAAATAATGTTCTTTAAAAGTAAAGGCTTTGGAATTCTGAATTTCTCCTGATCAGATTAATACTCAGCTATGGTAACACACAATAAGATCTCCAGTTGATATTCTTTCCTTACATATAAGAATAAATACCAATAAATCTAACAGCTGAAGACTGAAATGGGTTACATACAGACATACAGAACACACTAGTGTAAAAATTTTTATATTTTTCAGATTGCTAGAGCATTCAGCCTAAAAGATGTACCTACATCTGCTTCACTATATTTAAAATTCATTAATAGTGCTGTATATGAATAATTTTCAGTTCTTGATTTATTTTAACACACCAGATGCTTTAAGGATGAGAAAATTCATCCGAAGTGCAAAAATATTTACAGAAAAATAATCAGTTGAACAGAAGCCGAATCACACTCCTATGATAATTTTAATTCTAAACTTTTATTTCCCTGATGTATTTAAAAGACATCTGACAAGAAAATGTTTCAAAGCAGGCCTCACAATCAACAAAATAATGCACTTCCTGCGATTTAACCATCAGCACACTGCTGACACATATATATGGGGGATAATCCACATAGCAAAACTCCTTTCTCATTGACAAAAGATTGAAAAACACACACTAAATAAAATTTAAGGACACATATAAAACACAAAATTTAGTGGCATGTATAAAACATGTCTTTAATGAAAAACTGCCTTTCTGTAATTTACAAGCTTCTTAAAAGTTACAATTTGATTTAAAACTGAACACTTTTAAAACCTCTGTTAAAAGCATGGCAACCATCTCAAAAAGTAAACAACCATCTATCAACACAGTATAAAACAACACCTTAAGCGCAACAAAATAAGTATTCCACAGAAAACACTGAAAATGTATAAATATTTTTTATTAAAAGTATATATATGTTTTAGAAGCAAACAATCACATATAGAAAAACAGCCACACTTAAAATAACATATGAATGAAGGTACACCAACCCTGTACTGTTTTGATGGACTGTATTCTTCAATTATATCCTTCGCTTCTTTAAATTTCACTCTTTCTTTTACTTCCGATAGAATGGACTTCTTGCGCTGCTGTAATTCTGTAAGCTTCTTATTATATCTTTTGATTTCATTGTCAAAATACCACTTTAGAGATTTTTTCAAGACAGATACCCTGAAAATTATATTCAAATTATTTCAGAAAGCTTAATTTTTTTAATACTAATTAAGGAACACGAATAACTGTTTTAGGACATTTAAACAATAATCTTACTACAACTTCATAGAAAAGAATATAAGTTCGTCACAAAATGAATCTCAGTGAAGAGAATAACACTGATACATTCTTTAAGGATACTAAAACAATCACCTTACTATAACTTCACATATCCAATAAAAAGAATATAAAACATTCACGTACTGAATCTTAAAGAAAAGAATAACTAGCAGCTGGTGATAACATTACAAATTACAGTGACTTTATATAGTATTATTTTAAGTATTTATTTATGATGGCACATAACAAAAATGGCAATCAATAAGAAGTCTGCATCATCTTAACATTTTATTAAACTATTAATTACAAATTTACTTTTTCATGCATATTTATGAATTATACTTACAGAATATAAAATATCAACAATGGACCACAAAACAGGACATACTCAACAAGCGTAGAGGGTAAAGTAGAGAAAAAAAATATCAAGGAAACCATCACATACAGAAGTCTTGAATAAGACACAATGAATTCTGTAATTAAGTAATACTGGTATTGTAAGGCAGCTTGATTTTGTTCCATTTTAAATATTTCCTGTAATAAAAAAATAAAGTAATAAATTTAGGTTAATCAATTTTCAAAATTTTGACTAAAAATATTTTTCAATCATCTATATTTATGAAGAAATGGCCCAAAAATGTAAATTATATGAACAGCATATAAGAAATTCAGACAGCACACGTTTTGAAGATTTCATCTAATATATAAAATACGTAATTACCCATTGCTACATAAAAGATTAAATCATCAAACACATAGTTTGAAAACTGATAATGATGTTAAATCAGTTACATAAAATTAAGCACCTCAAAACACAGAAATTAAAAATGCACACAGCAAATTACATGAATATGGAGGGAATGGATGCAGAAAACATGACACATTTGTAAAAAAAATAACAGAATAGAGAGGTTAGGTTAGGTTATTTAATTACAGCAAAGCCTCGAGGGCTATCTGCCTAAAGGGAGGGATGCCTTCGTGGAGGACTTTCTAAGGGAAACTGGCTCGTATACACGTTACACATGGGGAAAACCACGAAAACACCCATGCAGCCAGCCCGTTCATGGGATTCGAACCTCGAACCGAACTACCAGTGTTCAGTGACTTTACCACTCGGCCACTGGTGGGCACTAACAGAATAGAGAAATGTAACATAAAAAAGTTTACCGTCATATTCGTTTTCTACTACCATTCCTCCCAACAGTTTCTTCATTATTAAAATAATATGAATTTCTTATTAAAAATTAGAAATATAAATATAGATATTTAATAATCCAGTTCTAAATTAAAAATCTATCTCAGAGAAGATGATTATCAGTAATGGTGATTATTAAATTGCATAATGGGTTTATTTTCGAGCTCTTAGAATCTGCTAATGAACATACACACTCAAAAAAGTTATGTTTCTTTTCCATGGACTCTTACTTTTTTAACAGAACTAAAATAGAAGTAAGAATTCTTATATTAAGAGTTCTAGAATCAGAGCAGGGACAAAGGTGAACGTCTAAGAAAGGTGCCAAATTAGCTGCAAAATTTTGGAAATAATATTGAAAAAAATAACTTACGATTTATTAACTTTCAATTCTGAAACATATTAAGAAACACTGTTTTAGAATATCATATTTAAAGTGACATAAAAGGCATCATATTCTTAAGCACTTACAAAGTTGTGCTTTTCTTTAAGCAATTAGCCAAACCAAATAAAAAATGGTTTAATATTTAAAGTGACACAGAAAATTATTATCAAATGTTTTAAATAATTTTCCAGCTAGTTATTTTTGCTTTATACTTACATAAATGGATCAGATTTATAATTATTGCAGTAGGTTAAAAACTGATAGTCTCTGTAAGCAAATCAATCAAAAATTTTATTTATGTCTTTGCAGAATTTAATATTACAGGAAACAGAAAAGGTACACGAGCCCTGCAATAAGAGAATAACTGAACATAAAGCATGCTTAATAGAGGGATTAAACTCAAACAAATCCTGGCTAATGGGTCAACCGCATGGGGGTTTTTCACATATAAATACACATCACTTTTTCTTAGCAAGTCATCCATGAAGACATACCTCTTTTTACCAAACAGCCCTATTATGTTTAGCCAAAATAAACTGTACAAGCATAATATGCTGGTGGACAACTGCTAAGTGGATCAGAAGTGGCAATACAGCACATAAAAAAGTAGGTGTAGTTGGATGCCAAGTAAAACAAAATAATGCCAGAATGCTAGCACAGAACAATAAAGATAATTTATTGTGCTTTGAAACTCAGAAGGCTTTGAAAAAGGCTGAATACGTAAAAGTGAAAAAAATGGAATTACCATCCCAACACATTCTGCCGTAACATGTCGATACAGGCATAGAGGGCGATGCAAGCTTGCACACATTGTGCCATGCTTTGTAAAACATTATCCAGCATCTCTTGGGGAAACATTTCCCATTCCTCTACCAGTGCACAGTTGAGGGTGTCCTAGTTTATTGGATGGCATTGTTGACCGGCCAGACTCTTTCCCAAAGCATCCCAAATATTTTCAATGGGACTCAGATCTAGAGAACTTGTTGACAATACGAGGCATTGAATATCCTTGCTCTCTAAACACTCCTGGATGGCAACTGTTCGATGACATGTTGCATTGTCATCCATAAAATCTCTCACCATCAGCAACACAAAATATGTGACCATGAGGCAGCAGAACATCATTAATGCAACGCTGGCCAGTCATAGTACCAGGTGGAAGCACACAGAACAACATACAGCCATTCAGCCTGATCCCAACCCATACCATTATCATATTCATTCATTATATAATGCGGGACATAATTATAAATCACCCAAAAATATTAGTTGAAAACTTCGGAGGTAAATATAGTTAACACTCAGAGAAATATATACTTGTTCACAAAAGTCTACTTGGCTTTTTCAACCTCTGGTCATAAGACATGTTTAGTAAAAGTCCAACTATTCAGCATTCAACTTACTGGAATATTTTAGAAGCATAGAAAATCCCCCCCCCAAAGTACAGAAATGGGAGATTTTTTAATGCCACAATAAAGGCCCTATAGGACACTATTGTTAAAACAGTGTGATTTAGTGCCAATAATGGATAAGCCTGAAGTCCCAACACAGTCATAAGATCTTTGCCTTAGTTTTATCAGGGTTGCCACTCAAACAGGAGAATGAAATTCCCTGACTTTTCCAGGTTTTCCAGGTATGTTTCGAGAAAATTCCAGTCTATCTGCGTAATGTACGTTGGCTGTGCTAAGAGGTAAATTAATTATGGTATTACTTGTACTGTGTAGCAAATTCACTTAATTATTCAATAAATCTCAGAGGACATTTATTCTTAATTATTCTTGGTACACTTTGTTTGATAATTTTGTTTACTTTTCCACTTAAGAAACTTAATAAAATTTAAGATATATACATTGTATAACAATTATACATTTTATTTAATTATTACTCATGATCATCACCAGTTCAACATGAGGCTAATCCGGTTCTTATAAATCACAACGCAATGCTAAAAGTTAGATTAGATTTTAGGTAAATTTAATTTGTGTGAGGTGTCTTCTTAAAAGGCACCTTAACACTTGAAAACACAAATATAATTATAATAGGAGTTGTTTTCTCCACTGAAGATTGAGATTAGAATCTCCCCAATCTGGAATAAAATAAGGCTTTTTTTGCAGACATTCTATAGCTAAATGAAAGAAAGAAATCTATTTAATGATATTTTTTTACTAAATTGAAGTATTTTATATTTATTTCGCAGCATACATAAGGAAAAATTATGTGCATTAAATTTTGTGATGTCATCATACTGCTAGAATTAATTTCAGGTTTATGCCAGAGAAAATTTCCTGAAATTTGGAAATATTATTTACTAATGATAAATAAATTTAAAGGGAAGAAGCAACATTAAATGATACAAATTATAAAAATAAAGATAATTACTTAAAAATTGAATTAGAATAATCAACGATATTTTAGCGAATATAGTTATATTACATGGTTAGCCTAGATGACTGATTACTATTTTTTTGTTTTACTGCAAAATAACAAGGTATTTATTAAAAAGAAAAGAAAAGAAAAAAAATTTTTTTGCGGTAAAATCCTAGTATACGGTACGGCCTTCGCACGATTTTGAAAATTGTCACCAAGAACAAAATGACTCGTTTACTGCTCATCATCATGTCCCCAAATCCCACTGTACCATACATGGAGATTATTCTAATCAAAGAACGTCTATGTAAAGAAGAAAAGGTTCCATACAGTAAATGCTATTACGCGGCTAGAACGGGGGAAATTTCCAAGGGATTTGGCGACGGAACCTGGCGGCCAGAATTTCCCTCTCCGCGATGTGTACCAGGAAATTGAGAAACACGTTGTTAAGAAGAAATGTTGTTTGACAAAAAAGAAAACTATGAAAATCCGTTTTTAAATTATTGCGAAAAATCCAAGAAGAAACGTTTTCAAAGAACGTTTTTTCTTGGATTTTTTCCAATAATTTTAAAAACGGATTTTCATAGTTTTTTTTTTTTTTCCCCCCTCAAAAATAACTAATCCATGAATTAATTTACTTGCGCCAAAAATATTTTCTTTTCCTTTAGAGTTTAAAGAAATTTTAAACGATATTCATTTTATGAATTCTTGATAACGTGACCTTCGAACTTCACCACCGGTTTCGAGCTTTGGCGACAGATATATCGCGCATGCACAGCTGTTTCCCTCTATGATGGAACGGAGCCACGTTTGTTGCAGAGGTTTTGTTTCTTTACAATACATATTTTTTGATTCTAACCTTCATGGTACCGTATACTAGGATTAAACCCATTTTGTTTTATATGAGAACAGGTACTTTCTTTAGTTCATGCACTGCACATGCGATTTTCGAGGTTACTGGAAACCAAAATTTGCGGGAAACTTGATTTGCCTTTCTAAAAGACAATCAAATTGGAGCTGCGAAAACTGGCTCTATGCCAGCTGCCCGAATGACACTCACGTGATACACAATTTGCCAAAAAAGTGATCTCTTCCGACGTCGGCGCAAAACTCACCTTTTTTGGCGGGATCGTTGTATGAAATTCCCCGACTTTTCCAGATTTTGACTAAAACACTTAAATTCCCTGACTTTTTCCTGAATTTTTTGGTCAATTTCCGAATTCCGACTTTTTCCAGTTTTCCCGGTAGCGTGGCAACCCTGTTTTATACAAACCTTATTAGTTATTGATAAGCCAGTTTAGGTTTCGTAATGAAGGACAACAGCTATTTAACTATTTTTCCATCTCATTTTGTAAAAATATGATGCTGCCAGCACATGACTTCCAGTTCCAGGTTTCAAATATCATAGTGCTTAATGTAGGCTACTTATGCTTACTTCTGGTTGATCGTTTGTAAATAAAATCTAGTTTGAATGTTGAAATAAACAGAAAGATCTGTAATATGAAATACTGGATTACATTTTAATAGACATAATCAGCCAAGTTAAAAACTGATTTTTTTCCCAAATTTATATCAATATAATCAAATGTCTTC